ATATTTTCAGATGCTTTAAGTTTTTCAGCCTGCATATAATTCAAAGTGAAAATTACTCTCCAATGATGTTTAAAAATTCTGGCTAATAAAAATGATATAAAAATGTGATGTAGTAATAAAAAAACGTCATATGAGAACAGGGATAACATATAAAATTTTCGATTTTTATTCTTTCTAATTTACTTTCGAGTTACAATACTATGTACATGTAAACTATTTAATAATTAATTATATGCCAATAAAACTTTACATTTCCATTTTATCTAAAAGGAGAAGTTGTTAGAGGAACTGCCATAATTGCGCAACGAGAAATAAGATCTCGACACTTAAACCTCCTGACAGAGTTTCGTCGGTTTAGTTGAAAACATTCGTAAATACATATTCAAAGAATTGTTATGCGAACGGTGATACTGAGAGATTTGTATATGATCATGCTATGATGTCTATCTGATGAACTATCTGTTTTTACGTTTAATGGCTTTTTACTTATATCGTCCATACTGTACAAGACTAACTGAACAAAAAAAAAAGAAAAAAAAAACAAAAATCTTTCTTTTCAATCTTACCACATCGAATATCGATCTTATCTTACAATAATAATATTAATGATATTTGTAATTTATATGTATGTAGACATACTATTATATGTAGACATACATTCATATTGTTTGGTATAAAAGCAGATTAATGAGATCAGAAGTCAAATTTGAAAAATACTTATAACTAAATGTACGGCATCACGTGTTGCAAAAATTCGAAATAGTTAGCGAATAAACGCAAATAACTTATTACATTTAAGACCAAGCAAAATACATTGGACGATGAACCGTTAAGAATTTTGTAACTTATTCCTAAAAAATTTAATTAAATATCACCCAAATTATGTTTGCATACTCCGAGTACTCTATTAACTTCGGAGGATGCTTAAAACTACTGGTGAAATGGAGTCCATTTACCATCTATAGGCATTACTTTTACAAATTCATCATACACATTTGTATACATATATAGAATGTCCAATTATAATTCATTCACGCAATTATGTCTTGATCAGTCATTATACAACAAAATATTTAGACAGAAATTGTTTCCATAACTTCATCTAAACTATTTCTATGAATATAGTATAACTTTTGATAAATAATTACGTGGAAAATTATAAAGAGATACCCTGAATATAACATACATATATTCAGACACACATACATATGTGTATATAAATACATAAACTTCAGAGAGAGTACATAGCTCGATCAAAATACCATTGACCAATGATATTATTAGTAGTCAGAACTATTTCCAGTACATAGAACCATAACTTAATCCATGTTTATAAAATATAAAAATTAACCCTCGCCGTACTATGTTAAGGGTTCTTTCGTACTCAGAGCTCGAAGCCCGACTTGTTTAAAAAAAAAAGTACATTAAGATAATAATAATAACAACAAAATTTAAGTTCAAAATGTTTGCATACATAAGGAGCCAATCTTGGGGCTTCGCGTGAACACTCAACGGCCAGTACTGCGAGGATTAATTATATATCATGAATCCAAGAACTCGTAAATCAAATGTTCTCGAACCATATGAAAATAAAAAGATAAGAGAGAAATGCTTAACTTCAATTACTATTCAACTACGTGAAATTTATAAAAATACTGGAAGTAAAATTCTGGCTCCATTCAAAACAATAGTATCGTACCTTTACATACGATTAGATGCCATACGTATCTTTTCTCTGTTTCTAACATGATCATACCTGAGAAAGCGAACAATTCATTTACTTTAAGCCACACAGCCAAGAAATAGAAATTCATCTTTGAAAATGCTTTTTTCCCTCTATATATTCAAGTTTCAATGAATTTATATTCAAAACGGAAATACAAATGTCTTCGGAACGTTCTCTATTCATTAACCATTGCGTAGCGATTTTTTATGGAACGTGTTCGGCGATTCTTATTGGTTCTGCGTGCGCCTTTCGCCGATTATATTTTCCAATTTACGAGCGACAAAGGTAGATTTCTTTTTCGGAGATACTTCCGTCATTTCTACATCCGTGTCATCCGATAAAAGTCTCTTACCAACCGCACGCTTCGGATCAACAGAAATCATCATCCTATTAATAGCCTCCAAATCCTGTAAATGAATTAAATATATACATATAGACAAACTATATCTTGCAATATTAGCTTCAATTTAGGTTTACTATACCTTAGCAGGACTACGACTGAAACAATAACTAAGTTGTGGTGCTGGAGATGCAGAAATGGCTTTCGGATCCAGGTTACGAGTCATAATACTACTGGTTACGTGTCTGACTGGCGAGCTTGCTGGAGGTTTCCCCTTCGGAAGTGGACTCAATGATAGATTCATTACACTACCACGTGCCAATCCTAATTTGTTTGCCACTTCTTTCACTTGGGGCACATATACTGTATTATAAAATTTGATCAGGTCGCCGCGTATCTCTTCGCCAAAGCTTTGCGAAGTTCCCGCCATGTGTGAAGGCGTAGGTGGTGCTACGTTTGCTTCTTTGTCCGGAACCTCTTTCGAACCGGATTCCTCGTTGCTCGGCTGTAACTGGTTCGAAGACGTTTTCGCGATGAGCACCGATCTGTATATATGCGATTCTGCCTGTGGTTGTAACCGATAGCACCGCATGATCTCCGTGAACGAGTTCTTCTCCAGTTTTGCTAATTTACAGATCACATAAATTGCACACATTAATATCTGATCGAGATGCCGATCCTTCATTAGCTCTGTTCTATCCTTGATCGAGTATTCGAAAATTGTCCAGATTTTTCTCTTTAGATCGGTGTCCATTATCTCTAGAGAACCGCATAGATCAGACATGCGTACGCTTGCAAGATTATAAAATTTCCTAAAGAAAAGCGCAACCGAGCCTGTTCGCTTCGGTTTCGCTGGCTCCCTATTCATCGTCATGGTTTGGATCGGTGTAGTCGTGGACTGAACACTGGACGCTCGGGAAACAGTTATCTGCTCGGGCAGCAACAGAATTCTTGGATTACCGTCTATAGCCAGAACTTTCGGTGGTAAAACACTCTGACCAGCTACACGTAGAACGCTCTGACCACCGAGATGTCTGGTATGGTCGGCAAACAGGCGCTTCTTGATTGCACCCGAAGCCGCAACGGGAGACTGAAATCTCTCCGAAGCCGAGGAGATGGGGCTCTGTTGTACATCGTGGTGGGTACCACGATCCAACGCGATTCTCCGTAACACCGGTTGTCCAGGAATATTTGGATCTACGGTTTCCAATGTTCCCGGTAACGAAACTTCTTCGCAACTAGGAACACCTTCCGTCGTCGACTGAATGGCTCCCCACAGAGGACTGTCGCTCTGCCATGCAAGAGATTCTAAAATCTTCTCCTCTACCTGATTCAAATGCTTCACGACATCGCGCGATAATTGGTCCTCCGCTCTAACTATAATTTCTATCACTTTGTAAAAATAGTAGGCGTCTAGATTCAATGCATGTAAAATCCAAGGGAAAACCTTATCGTTGCTTTTGTACGAATAAATAACGATCTCCAAACAGCAGGCAAATAGGCATTGTATGAAAATTTCATTTGTAAGAAGATTCTGGAACATATCAACAGATATATTATTCAGAGTTTCCTTCGTTTTTGGAGGGGGGGAGCCAACCAACGTACCGTCACATCGTAACTTGGCTTCTTGCGTTTCTCTTCGTTTAAGATCATTTCTAGAAGTCTGTAAAATAGAGTCTGACCCAAATAAAGCCTCTTCTTTCCGAAGTCTGAAGTGGTCTCGTTCAGGTTCGTGCTTTTGTTGTAATTCGCATAAAACTGTTCCCCTATTTCTTTCACCTTTGTCTCTACCAACGATTTTACATCTTGAGAACAGTTATTCAATATTTGGAGAAGATTCTCGCTTGGCGAAGTCTGTCCAGCCAACATAGCTTGTAGTCGAATTACACTTTGTGTCGCAGTGGACACTGGTGTTACATTCGTAATATCTTTTGGTCTAAGATAGCCCCGCCCGGTTAGCGGAGTTGGTGGAGCTAAGTGCTGTATCTGTTCAAAAAAGTTTCATAGTATAATGAAGAAATAATATATTATTAACAAGTATAGTAATTATATCTACCCCACTGTATTGCTCCCTTTTCAGTTGAAATTGTTCTTGTAAATCTCCAACATTCATCATCTGTGTAGGAGAACCAATATTATTACTAGCATCATGATCTAAAACAAAAGGAAATCGGGTATGAGATTTTGATACATAATTTGTGACGACGTTCGTTTTCTTCATATAGTTGAATACAAAAACAAAATACACGCACGAAATCTTTCTCACACACACGCGCACACACTCTTATACATATAACTAAATTATAATATTAGTGGTCTGCAAATTTTATACATTTATTGCATCCGAAAAAAGTGTATAAAACATAATATAATAACAAATTTTATTTTATTCCTAATTTTATACATATATATTAGGAATAAAAAGTATATATATACATTCCATAATAGGGAAAATGAAATTCTACTTGTTCTTTCAGCAAAATGTGAATTTACATAATTATTTTTCAACAAATAATCATTATTAACAATTCAGAATTAAATTTTCTGAATGTTGTAAACCCACCTTTTAGAGCAATATGTTTGGCTAATTTAGCATATGCTATTTCTCCTCCAACTATTTCCAAGCTCGATACTCCATTTAGTCTGACTCGCCTCCAATCAGCTTCAAATCACAGCCAAGACAAAGCAGACACAAAGTGATTAACAGCAAGAAATGAAAATTATTATTTGATAAGATAAAGACTGTCATGCCCACTGTATTTAATTAAAAAAATGCAAATCAAGAAACATATGCAGATCACTATGTTAACCTTACAAATTTACAGATAATGTTATCTCAACAGAGATATACGATTTGTAATTATTATAATTATTTACAATAAACAGGATATAACCACAACTTATATACAGATGACTAATTTTTTGTGTACACACCTAATTATGAACACGTGAAAAGGAGAAGACATTTCGTTTTTAATTTACAGTATTTAAACAATTTGTATTTATCAAAGCAAAGACAATAAAGTAAGCATACGAGCATGCAACTTATGGTGCTATTTTCTTTTATTTACAAGCATTTCTCCCTTGATAAGCAAGATTAGGAGGAAGATGTTATGTAAATATAAATTAATAGGAAATGTATTTACCTAAGAATATTCTTTCATCAAAATCTCCCACACTCAGCACATGTTGTTCATATACTTTGTTGATAGCTTTATTGTTTCCATCGAAATTTAAAGCTTCCAAAATACCAGAAAAATATACTGGATCTCCACGCAGAACTCTTTCGTCGAACAATTTTTTGATATGATTTTTTAAATGATACTCCTTAATTACTTTAGCCTCAACTGCAATAGCTTCATGACGTTCGCACAACAAAGTGACTATACAATTTGCTGTTTGAGGAGGTGTATAGCTCTCGTCATTAAAATTTGTAGGCAGACCTATTGAAAAATAAATTCAGAGAATGAAACATTCCAGTATTGTCGATCGAATTTTATATGGATTTACCTGGAAAATTGGGATTTAAGAGATCTTTCCTATTAGCCAACAAAGCATTGCTATATATAAGATCACAACAAACTAGTAGTAAATGGTAGGAATTAACTAAATCATCAGAGATATCAGGGAATGCTCCTTTTATACAAATAAATAAGGCCCAGCAGAATTCAAATACTCTTGCAGGTGTACAAGGCAGTGCTTTGTGTCTCCTTGATCTTGGTGGTCTTGAGATATCTTCTGCTGGATATTTAAATATATCATTGAAAATTGGTTGATACTTTTTGAATATAACCATAGATACGGAGAAGTTTCCTTCCAATTTCTCGATTTTTGAGCGAAAGTCTTGCGGCATATTTGCCATATCTGCCCATGATTTACTCTTTGTAAAGAATTGTATCAGCGAAAGATTACACAATTGTAATAAACGAGTAAGTGATACACAGTTTCCTTCCACATTAGTTCCTGTTCTTCCAACAGTGGGTATAGAAGACTTACGGCATGCTACATACAGTGCACACCCTATCCAATGCAATTGATCACCCTAAAAAGAGATTATAAAAATATAGTTTTATATAGCGTGCACTGTAAAAGTTATAGAACTTTCGAGAACAAAGAAACAAATAATGGCTAGTATAATCTTTTCATTAATTAGTTTCTGTTACTTAGAGACATGCGATACATTATTAAATTTGATACGTTTGACAAAGATCCTTCACAATTTTAAATTGTCAAACATATGTTTGTCTAATAATAATAAGAAAGGACAACATGCATATTAATATTGTGCAGTGCACTTCTATGTGTATAATATAATCAAGAAAACAGATTTACAAAGTTATTTACAATACTGGTTAAGTGAACTTTCGGTTGATGCAATTGTTGAAGCCACAAAATGTACGGCACATTTTCAATTACAGTAGAAGATGACGCTTTACTACTTATAATGAAGAATTAATTTTGAACTTTCCAACTGTATCTAAAGATTACAACCATAAAGAACAATTTGTTACAACAAGGAATATTAGACACAGTTCTCCATTTTTTTTTTAAGGTAGATAAGTTCGAATTAGTCAGCATGGAATCATAACTGTGGCATGTTATGGGCTTGGGATAATTATTAAGGAAAATGCAGAAACGATGTAATTTATATTGTATTCTTCCGGCAGATGGTTTACGGATATTAGTAAATTTTAAATTGGTGCGCTTTGATCGTCGGACCGAAATTAACCGCCAATTCAACGTTGTTGAACGTCGCGCAAAAAAAAGTCAAACAATTTGGTGTGTTACAAAGTGAAGGGTTGGGATTAATGGGATCGTGGATTCTTGTCAGAAAATTGAGATACGGTTTCGATTGACCGAGATAGGCATGCACGATTTGACATAACTACGGGAACGGTATAATTCAAAATGTACCTCGAGAGTATAATTCTGTCGGATCGTCTCGTATGATTTCCAGGCCTCGGATGCGGCAGTCGCATCCATATTCAATTTTTGACACAAATCCTGATGTCTGCTGTACGTAGAGTCCTCGACGTCGTCCGACTGCCCCATTTTCGTCGGAAAACCGATGGAAAATCGCAGAAAAACACGACTGCCTTACACCGCTATACACGACCGATCTGCGCCATACGAGGGCTCCGAGATGGTTTGGCGGGAAACTGGCGGAGTGCCGCCATATTTGCCATGTTGGCGGGAAATGTAGAACAGCGATTATCAGAAAAAATATCCTTGGGACAATGTTGCCGCCGAAATTATCGGTCGCAACAAGGTCATTTTAATCGGGAAATAACGAGCAAAATTCAAATCAATACGTTTCGGGTTGAACACGATTGATACAAAAATACAGTTTCTAAAAATCCCCGGGTCTTAATCAAGCGGTGGTTTTAGCGATCTTTGAAACGACAGAATTAAAAGAGATGGCAGAATTTACGAGGCTTATTCTGGAATTCGCGAAGTATATAGGTTTCGTTGTTATGTATATAAATCCTTTTAATTGCCATGTAACGTAAACTATGAGGGGTGTGTGGAGGAATGAAATTATCGACTAAGTTAGTAATGTCTACGGGAGTCAACCGGTGTCCCCACCACCGTGTCCTAGAGCGCGTTATTCAAATCGAAGGATTTTTGTTTAATAAAATTTTCTTATTTTCTCAAAATACCAATGCTACATCCAATAGCCTAAATCTTCTAATAGCTCATTTCTGTCAATTCTTATTTCCATTGCATTTTCCGGAACTATTAGGTTCCGCGCTAATTGTTGCTCTATCTTGTAAAAGCGTATTTCTATGTCAGATTCCTATTTATAGATTTTCTCCTAATTTCTTAATAGAATCTTTAAATTCTTATTTTGGAATTACTGCTGTTTCCAGTTCTTGCTTTGAAAGCGGGGAGCATTTTTTGTCGCGTCATAAGTAAGGTTTTTAGGCGACCCAATGTTGTGAATATAATGGTGATGACAGCGCCTCTTTTGGTGAAAAAGTGAAGCTCCGTTCGAGGTCCGTACAGCGCCAATTAGTAGGTGGCAAAACGCTCAAACTGCTAGCCAAATTACCAACGATCGATTTTGGCTAACAGTTTGAGCATTTTGCTACTGGTGTAATTGGCGCTGTACAGACCTCGAAAGGAGCTTCCAGCTTTTGCCGCAAGAGGCGCCATTGTTTGGCTAACAGTTTGAGCGTTTTGCCACTGGACTAATTGGCGCTGTACGGACCCCGAACGGAGCTTCACTTTTTCATCAAAAGAGGCGCCGTCATCGCCATTATATTCACAACATTGGATTGCCTAAAAAAATTAATTATAACAAAATTAGGACATAAAATAATGAATTATAGGTATGGAATTGTTCAAGAGAATCAATTGCATCCATATCATGTACAAAAACAAATGACAAACATTACGAAATATAATTAATTGCTCCTTGAAGTTTGGAAAATTGACACTTTATCGGCAGATTGTACGGAATTTTTGCTCTGGTGGCGCGCACTAGATACCCAATCAAAAAGCTAATTTTCCATCGTGTCAACTTGAAACACTCGTTTTTCATTGGGTTTCGCGTGTTTCATCGTGTAATACGCACATATATGTCTATATTTGTAGAAACTGTTGCAAAATCCAAATATTTCAAGCATGAAAATGGTACTGTTCCTTTTGTTTCTTTCATACATGTTTCAGAAAGGAATTTTGTTTCGTATCATACGAATTATATATCATAGAAAAATTGTATTTATTATAATAGAGAATAGGCGTGCCAAAACGATTATTATTCTCTTAAAAGATATCCATGAATAATTTCCAGATCAAGTAGAAAAACGATGAATCGTGTAGAAGAATTGTATGTAATGCGCGGAATTAGAAAGCACTCTATGTCGAAGATGCGCTTCCGTGGTATAAATATGTAAATACAATATGGCGGATGGAAGCGGAACGTTACGAGCTTCTCCGAATGGCATTTTGCCAATTGATTGAGAAACAGCAGAACTCGTGAATGTGATCGAGTTTTGGGCGTACATGGACGTTCGGACAACATGGATTAAAAGATATCACGCGAAATACTCGGACCTCCTGTTAATCGTTTCGAAAATGTCACGAAGTTGGTGTTGTTGAAGAATGTTTATCTCTTGAGGAAAGGGTAATCGTGGTAGTTGAACTATCCGGCGCAGTATGAAATAAACTGTCACGAAACCCGTGTTTTGTCAAATGCAACGGTACCGTGGCTTTCACATTCGATTTGCCGGTATTTCGTATAACAATGTCTGATGCATAGGTACTGTCATGGACACAGATGTAGAGCTTGGCAAAGGTGAAGGGTGTGAAACGAGTCCAGGTTGCTCTGGCTATTCTAGTATGGTGCACAGTAAAAAGGTTATCAAACATGCACTACGACAGCAGGCCAAGAGACGCAGAAAAAACACTACCATAGCAGCTGGTAATTCTCGTACTCTTCCAAGGATCGTCGTAAAACCGTTGCCACCGCCGCCACCGAATGATCCACCGTCTCCAGTGAACAATGTGCAGCATATTAACACTAGTAAGCGAAGCATTTTATTTAATATGAAACAAGTATGCTAAATTGGTAGCCTGTAGAAAGTTTCTCCTCTTTCGTTATATTATTATCTATATTATTATTATCTATCGATAATTATGTATGTATTATGTATACGATGTATTTTTTATTATGATTTTAAACGTAGCAACTGAAGAGCCTGCTGCCACAATGAGAGAGGTCTTGGCTAGTTTGCCAGGATTTAGTTTGAAGTCTGGGCGTCGACGATCGACAAAGAGACTATCGGCAACTGCACAGCTGGAGGCCGGTCTCGTGGATCTCGAGTCTCCAGCGAGTATTCTAGCCAGCACAAGTTTACGTGCACTTTTAAATAGGCATACCTTCCAGGGTTTGCCACCTTTGTATCAAAGGAAACTTGCACAGCTTTTGCCTGCTGTAGATAGACAGGTAATATTTATAGACTAACTTTTAGAGGGGTATATTTGCAAGAGTAGATGTTCAATGCCTCTATGAAGACTACGGAGATTTTGGGAATATATGTTTTGTTTCTTACTGTCAGGATGCTGCTACATCCGGATTAAACAATGAATTCTTTGCACGAGCTTGTCTAGAATGGCGTAAACGCTTGGCAGAAGGAGAATTTACTCCCGAAAATCAACAACGATTGAAGATGGAAGCGGAGAGAGATAAGAATAAGTTAGATCCATGGAAAGTGAAACACTTCGAACCAATATGGGGTGAAAAACGTGAACCCAAACTTAGGTCGGGTCTCCACTGTATTGCGGAATCGAGATCTGGTGGAGCTGTAACGCGTTCTAGTTTAAGGCTTCGTTTGGAATCTAGTGTAGATACGCCTGCATCAGATGCTCCTTGCCCTGTTATTATGTCTGAAGACAAAGTAGAGGAAGATAATTGTAAAGTGGAAACTACTATAAATAATACAGATGAGTTGACAGAGACACCGGGCATACAAGAATTATTAACAGAAGAATATAACGAAACAACGCATACATTATTAGACGAGAAACATTTAGAATCTGTAAACATAAGTTCTGTAGAAACAATAGCAGACACTGAGATGCTTCAGGATAAACCAGAGGAAGGAGAGAAAGTCCCTGTTCTCCCAGAAAAGCAAGAAATTGTCGAGGAAGACGAAGTAGTTGTACAAGTTTGTCAGGAGAACATTTCAAATACATACGATGAAGACATTCATTTACCCGAAAGTAAAAAGGAGCTCGAACCAATGGAAGATCATATTCTTGAGGTTTCGGAAGACACAATTCTCTTGCCAGAAGAAAGCGCATCACCAAAATCTAGCGAACAAATAGAACAAGTACCTCACGCACCTAGCGAAGCAATACCTCAACTATCAACAGAATGCACGCCTCAGACAGTAGATCAAATATCTCAAATATCGCAGGAACAGGTGACCCAAATGTCCGAAGAACAAATTTATCCAATGTCTGATTGCGAAACAACGACCATGCTCGAAACATCGCCGACGCATGAACAAGTTAGATCGACAGAGATCGTTATGGAAGATTCTACATTGATTAACAACAATCAGAGCGAAACGACTCAGGTTTCCCATGAAAACCCAACAGATGGTGAATCACAAATTCCAGAGGGAATGGAGATTGATAGTGAAACATTGCAACGTATTCACGAATTGGAGGTGAAGCCTTGTGCAATCTGCAAAGACAGAATTTATAAGTTTAATTATCTTACCAAGAGTATACTTGTTTTTAGGTAAGAGGGGAAATGCGCGAAGCGTATGAAGAGATTTCAGGATGCCCCGAAGAAATAATGTACCCTATTCTTGATGGAATGGAAATGGGAACGAACAGTACAGAGGAAACAGAAACGCAAGTCGTCTCAGGTCAAGCAGAGACCGCTAGAGATCAGCAAGATGTGAATGGCGGAAACGAAGAGGAAGCTCTTAGAGAGGCCAACAATTACGTTTGTTCTGAAATGTTAGAATGTAGTTGGTCAGTAGACCCGACTGTTAATAACATTAATAACACGACCAGGGTAAGTATATACGTAGTAAACTGTGAGGTTTTTGTCCACGCCGCAAAGAATTCTTTCTGTGACTGATGCTTGTCTTACTTTATGAAGACGCAGGAGGAGCTACAAGTTCCATGGCCATTGGTTGCCGCAGCTTTGGATGGATCAGTGGCCGCAAACATTACCGTGACCACTCAAGACGAATGTAGCGACACGCCAACTACCACTGACGCAACAACAACACAATCTCAACAGTTCATCAATGCCGATTCCAATGTGGAATCGGTTAACTGCATCCAGTTACCAGTGGTTCAAGGGACACCCTTTCAATCCGAGAATCTTGCGATCGGCACACCCAGCACGAGTTGTATAATGAAGAACTTTCAGTCACAGAGTTCGCCGATCATAGCCTTCCCACAGCTGCAGTCCATCAGATTTGTACAAACTAGTTTCCATTCTGATCAAACCGCCGCTGCCGCTTTGAACAGCACGTCCCCAATCGCCGGTCAACTTCAAACTCAACAGACCACCAACTCGCAAGTGAACATAATGAGAACGCAAGAAGAGGTGGTTCAATTGAACACACAAAATAATACCGCAAGAAGTGTCAGAACCAACGTCACGCAAAATCCAATTCCGAATGTCGTACCGGCGGCTGCAATCGGCGTGCAACAGAATCGGACGCAGAATACCATCGTTATACAGCAACAAGCATCGGCACCTGCACAACCTAGGCAGGTTGTAGCGACTATACAACAGCAACAGTATCCTGGAGCAACGGTGGCGGTGACCTCGAGGACGTCACGGTCAAATAATCAAGGCAGCCAAAGGGGTTCTAGGAATAGTAATAAAGAGCAGGGGGGAGGCAGATCTCGTAGCACCACGAAAGAACCACCCGGTGCTGTCAATTTGGAACGCAGCTACCAAATATGCCAAGCGGTAATTTAAAGTACATTTATATCTTGTGCTATGGATTCAGGGATTCTAGGTGAAACGAAGGGCGAAGGGTCCTACAAAAAATATTCTGAACCTAAAACTTCTGTCACCTCGTTGAATGAAAGCGATACACATTTAATATTATTCCTTCCTTGTTACAGTCAAGTAAATATTTCTTCTGCTATTGTAGGTCATACAAAGTTCACCGAATAGAGATCAGCTGAAAGCTCATCTAAAACCTCCACCGAGCTTGCTTGCTAGAGGCGACGGTGCATTCACCACTAGTAAGTCCGGTGGTCGTACGATCACGACCGTCAAGACTCAAAAACCGTCTCAAACAATACAACACAATAAACAAGCTCAAAATAAAACGCAAGCTGTTATGCTGAGACACGTTTTTGCCACCGCGCGACAAGCAACATCAGCAGAGGTATGTTACATCCTAATGACCAATCATATGTGTAGTAGCTTACATTACATTTGATTCTATTTTGAATTCGAAGTGCATTGTTCTCATAAATCATCACTAACATTGTAAATATTTAGGAATGAGTTATTCGTTATCATTAAATTGAAACCGATCTAATCGATCGAATATTGAGATTGATGTAGAAGGATCTATTAGAAAAGTGCGATCATGCTTGTTTCCATTTCTTTAATCATTCAATTTACATTTAGGTCACTCGTATAAAATAGACACTCGGCCTGCGCATGTACTATTTTATACTTTTTCTGTGTGTACAGTGCTAATCTTGCGAGTGGCTTGTCTTGATCACTGTATTATACAGGTATCTAATAAATAAATCTTCTTACTAATGTTGTGCTTCTAAATATCGGAAACGTATGATCTTGACTTTCAGAATGGAGATAGTATTAATAAAATATGAACGAGCGAATGTGTAGATTTCTATTCGAGTACAAATGAAATAAGGATAAATAAAGATTATCTATTTAACAAATGTATATGTGGAAATGCTTTAAATTCAATTTAAAGAGTATGATCACTGGACATGCTTAGAAGGAATGGAAGAAATTATTCTAGCATTTACGGTCACAGTGGTCAGCCTCTTTAATTTAGAGTTTTACTTAAAGAGTGTTATAACTTCCAGTTAATCGAGGATATTGGAACAGAGAACGGTAGCTAACAGTAAGATGACATTTTCAGGTTCCAGAAAGCAATACCGTAGCACAGTTAGGATCCACGGCGACAGGTGGACTAGGGCAATACATACTTGTACAAAGGACAGGCGTCGGAGACAGTGCACCGAGGGCATCTTCTGCGCCACCATTGCCTCCACAAATAGCTGGGATGGGTGTTGGGGTGCATTTGGTACGTGGTAGACCAGCCAGCGCTGGAGAAGGTTCCCATCAAGCTGTGACCTTGAAAGCAAGGGGTGCCGATGGCAGAGGAGGTGGTGGCGCTGAACCTGCGGCACCCGGTATGATAATGGGTGGCGATCCTCCTCCTCCCTGCGAGTGTAACATGAGGGGTGCAATGGTAATATGCCGGCAGTGTGGCGCCTTTTGTCACGATGACTGCATCGGGCCTCAACGTATTTGCGCTACCTGTCTGATACGTTAATCATTGTTTACCAATCATTGTTTATGTATAAATTTAGAGCTGTACGACCAGAGTGCTGAGTATCAAATTACGGGAATAGAGATAGAGATAAGAGACGTCGATGTCTCTTCGGATCTTTGTATTAATAAAGGGGAGGGATTTGACGAAAAAAAGACATATTGCATGAAGTTTCTACTGACAACCGAATTTGTTGTCCAGCACTTTAGCGTGAACGGTGATTCGAATAGTGGAGGGAGTCCAGCGGATACAGTTGGAAGTAATGATTTTTAAATCCTGTGATTGTTTTTCAGTATTAATCGTATATTTACATTTTTATTGTGCACCTTTATTCTATCCCTTTGTTCGTTTTATATCGAACGGAATGTCTTTTTTAAGATTTTTGACAGAGTGTATTTTAAATAAATGAATTTTTTTGATCACTTTTAATTACTAATCATGTTACGGAATGCAAGGTAGCTGCACCTTCGATTATCTTCACTAACAATCAAAATATTACAACTGTATCCTCGTAAACCCCTCACTTTTAATAAAGATAAAAGTAAAACTCTTACAGTCAGATTCTAATACCGTCTTCCAGTAAGCATCACATTCTTTATAATACGTCTTTAATATTTATTTATTAACAGAAGTTAAGTTTATCTTTATTACATAGAAGATATTCCTGTACACGCTGATCTCAGTCTAAGGAAATTTGAAGGACTATTCTTACATGCTCTCTGGTATACGTTTCCTTCGATTCTAGATCATCAACCAAGTTACTATGGAGCATCCTGTACAGGAATGTTGGTTTTGGAATAAAACATTGATTACCTATCATTAATCTATTGCCAACAATGACAAAATCTGACTAGATACTAAAGCGTAGTGTTTACGTAATTTAGCTTTACCTCTCACTTCGTTGTAAACAATTCTCTAGAATAGCATCGGATACGTTACTTGCTTCGCGTTAGCGTTTAAAGTCACAAGTGAAACATAAAACACCTAACACAGAAAAAGTGCAACAGTCACGGTTCCACAAATGACATTTCATTCTGTATATATATAATTCGCATTTCGAACATTCATTTCTCAAGCATGATTCCAGATTGTCGTGAGTTGTTATCGATGCTCTCATGCGGATCGAAATTCGTTGTAATTATTTTCTAATACCATACTCATTGTATTCCGAATACTTGATCACAATCGTTGCATCTGGCCATAATCGCACTACTGTAGTCTCTCGTTATATGCATGCATTAATGTATACTTTACCTCATTCACTCGTTTTTTATCGAATATATTCACAAAGCACATTGCATGGTATATTTAATAATTTATTTATATTGAATTTTGAAATTTCTGCCTAATCTCAGCTATATTATCAGTGAACAAATTTTGCCACTGATCAAGAATTACAAGATTTTTCTTTGCCATGTGCTTGGAGTGAAGTGGGCAACTCGAATGTTCATAACGAGAGACTACTGTAACTTAATCCACTGTTTTTTATTACATAAAAGATACTACATGTGTTGAATACATACATTGAGAGAAAACGTATTTATACACAACTGTCTGCTGTTTTCAGCTGACAGTACAAAAGTCAATAGTGTACGAATACATTTTCCGTTCAATGCAGTATTTATGTGTATCAATGGACTTTCATATTGATATGTTTCCATCGAAGTCATTGATGCTGATAAGTAGTATTATTGAGATTCGATAGACAGAAAACAAACCTATTGTGTATTTGTCGCTCAAATGTAAATAAAATCATATTCGTTTAATGTGTAAATTCGTTTAATATGCGCAATGTACGTGACGATTAAGGTGCGAGTTTGGCTATCGTGAGCGTTGTAGAGAAAGTAACACTTAAAACAGGTTGAAAGCACCTGATTATTTAACACGATGAAGGCAGGAGTTGTATATCAGTTCGCTGACACCTCGTTTTTACACAACGTTGACGTGTGCTGAATTCGTACTTTAAAAAAACAATAACATATTACCCGTCAGAAACAGCAATAGCCACACGTGTATGTACAAAGATATTCTATATTTAAAAGCTGCTGAAATTAAAAAGTAGTATTAAGTCAGATGTGAGTATTCCTTTACAAACCATCAAATTGTTTCAACCGCCTCATAAAACTCATAAGTAGACTGTGGATGATCCCATAATATTTTGAATATTCACTTTTACGAGATTATTTCATCTGTATAGTATTTTAGCAAATTAATGTACTGTTAATGTGCAGATATCCGCGGCTACTTATTAGTAATATAGTTTTATAAGCTTTGTTAGATTTGCTTTGCAATACATACTTTGATGATGAAGGTAATATTCATTCTTGGTACAGTGGATTGTAACAAAGTTAAGTAATTAAACTTGTTTCGAAAAAATAAATAAAACATTACCAAACTTCAAGGAATTACTTCTTTTGTAATCCACTGTATACTTATGAATATTCACAGGCTTTAAATTGTATCACCGTATGTGGAATATTTTGTGCATATAGTCAAATGATCCTGCTTTCGATCGACGATTATATTTGATGTTATTTCTCCTGTACTTTTTTTGTATATTTTCCATGAAACGTCTTAACATCTCTCATTAATGCAACTACACATTTTCTCATACGCATCAAAATAGAATCTACGGCTGTGATAATGTTTCTCACTGAAATTTTTGCTACGCAATACTGTACTTGTTTTCTCGACGTGAGTTTCATTCTTTCAATAAATTTATTGAAAATTTGATGACGTATCAGTATTACATGTAAATATTGCTCTATACATGCGAGAGATCGTGAGTGTTATATTAGTTAATAAATGGGCAAGCCTTGCATTAAACTTTTCGTGTTGAAAATAATAATGAAGCATATTTCAATAACCAATTATCGAGAAACTGTTGCCTTAATTATACGTGTAAGTTATATGTACACAGAGTACTCCTAGAAACGTCTCGCAATTTACCATGATTTATAAATTGCGCGTAAAGATCCTCCATTTCGGAAGAAAGCTCGATACTGTATAATGAGTAAAATATAATATTTAATAATGAAATACTACGGTTATCCTTTGAAAAAATAGAATTCTGAATTGATAAGACAAGCGCTAAATTTTGAACAATAAGTTCATATATTCCAAAGTTTCTAGCATTAAAAAAAGGTGATATTAAAATGTTAATAATAATAACAAAATAATTATTTAATCATCCTACTAGTGTGCAAGATGTCAGGATAATTATTATAATCTCTGGTAATTATTATCGACTGTTAAAAACAATGTAGTCATTTTTATATTATATGAATAATATGATTGTTTGTGAAAGAAGGATTTAGAACTGAGTTATTGTAGCATAAAATCTTATATTAATTATTATTCGTTGACTAGAAATATTAAGCACATTTCAAGATCGTATACAGTTGCTTAAGTTAAAAACAGAATATTGATTTTGGTATAATTTCAATACTCGCGCATGCAAAAGAACAAAAAACTATATCTTTCTATTATGTATATGTAAACACACCCCCCCGTCATGAATGAAAGAGCAATTACAATACTAAACAACTTTTACAAATATATCATTTTTTTAATATTTACAATAAAATATAAAATGAGAAAAACATTTTTTTATTGGAGATAACTTCTCGAGTGATGGATTGGAAATATGATATATTTTGGTCATTTTCTTCATAAAAACAAGATTTTCTAATAATTATTCATTAATATACATATTATATTGCACATAAAAAATGATAAATTATTATACTCGATGATTATCCTAGTAGCTGTCGTGTAAATCCTCTTGCGCCTTGCTGCGATATCATTTTGATTTTTGCTGGAAACCATTGGGAATCTAGCTGTGTGACTAAAAAAATAAATAAACTCCATTCTCAACTGAAAATCATCTGTCCATTAGTAGAGTTCACCAATTTACTTTACACATATTAACAAATTTATAGTTCCACTGTTACGTATACAACTCAGTGTTTAGACCGTATCAGCATTAATTGTAGTGCAATTCGCATTCTTCGATTCCCTTTCATTTGTACTCTGAACCACTATCAGTTTACGTTTGTACATTTCCTCTTTAACAGCACTAAATCTGTACAGGCCAATAGCCATTTCATTGTACTAATTTCCTAGAAATCTGTCTGCAACAAGAGCCACTTCTTAATGTGTTCCTTTCAACTTATTAATTTGCTTCAGCGTACAATTGATTTATTCGCAGTTACATTTAGCATCTTTTCTGCACTTAATACTGTAAAGAAAAACCAATAATAATCGCAGAAACAATAATAATAATAATGATGATCACAACAACAAATGATATATATATATATAAAGATCGCGCTACATATTCGTATGAATCGCAGAAAATATAAATATACAATTACATTTACACTATAAAGGAGAATATTTGCTTATTGTTTTGCAAAGTTAAATAAATAATCGCAATAAATATGGAATACACAAAATAATAAATAATATCACAAACATCATAACAAAATTCAATCACAACTGACTTATTATACAATTGTGCACCCGACACTGACTTTACGAATTAAATGATGTATCTTAAATGTATAAATTAGTGTCGCGCGGACGCAGAAACGAATGTAACATTCTCTTCACATTGGGGTTTTCAAAGTTTGATTCTCTCCCTAGTTAAGTTAAATATATATATATAATATGTGTGCTTAGGTACGCGTTTCTCGGACCTTAAATTGAATTATTAACAATGGTAATGATGTTACAAATTAAACGAAATCAGTATCACAACGTAATCGTAATGATTACAATAAGGAAAAATGAAACGGTACGACGCAACATGGATTTTTATCTTACAAATTTATGTATTGACGAATCGAAAAAGAGCAAATTGTGTTTACCCGATTCAAATTTGCAGTCACGTGAAACGAGATGCTCTGGCAGAAATACGTATATCGGTTACATTTAATGTCTCAACAGTTTTTACTTTGTTGTTGATCCCGTTATGATCAATTTTTCTCAACTATATTTCGCTTTATACGCCATATTACTTAGATTTAGTGTTCACAACAAGGTAGGGGGGCGAATTCACGTAATATCCGTGCCCGGAACAATTATTCGAGTTAAACAGATTCCCATTGTTTATGAGCTGAGAATGCACACAGTGCGTATCTCCTGCTTTATACCATTAAGATTAATTACTATAGTAATTATCATTGAATTGGGAAGCAAAAATAGTTCACCACCGCTGCGAACCAAAACTGGAACCTTAGCCACCATAATGAAATATCTGACTCTGTAATTATACCATTTTTCATCTCAAATTTGCATGCATTAACGATACTACTTAGATATAAGCCTGAATGTAGGTACATAGACTATATTAGATGCCACAATATTTCAGTTTCTCGTACTACATTCCTTATCTCTTAGATTCCATCGTATTTTTATCGAAAACAGATTACATCTACCCTGCTTTGTATAGTGCATCTCAATCTTCATATCTGGAAACGAGATTTGTCTTAATGTTTTTTTTTCTTTTTTTGTAAACGGTAACAGATTTTGCTAACTTTGATGCTAATTAGGCTGACAAAGTAGTTTCACGATATTATCATACGACTCTGTGCAACCCTTCAACGGCCATTCCATGCCGAATAATAGATCCAATATAATATTTTGAAGTTTTGCGTAGCAACTGATACATATGCTCGTTGTTTCGAAGAGAGACTGCCAACCATTCGCAGAATATTACCCTCGCAAGGAGAACAAGAAGAGAGATGGGTACAAGGAAAAGGAATCTAATCTACGTGCCTCGATTACTGGCACAGTAGGATGTAATCCACTTATCAGAATTGCGAACGAGAAAACGCGCCTCTTTTCCAATCCAAGGTTGATCGACTATTGAACATCCGGTATCAGGGGGTGGAGTTTCAAACGTAAGCTGGCGAAAGGTTCAAAGTAAGTCGAGAAATGACATTGTTGCGTAACGTAGCCCTTGTTATTCTGGAACTCTTAATTATCTGTATCACCATTATGCGACAGTCGTGACAAACGACCATAGAAACGCCTCGCAGTCGTTCCGCGACCAATCGTTGCTCCGAACTCTGACTGCTGAAGCCGGTGAACGCTTTCGGCGATGGTACGTTTGCTGGGCTGCCGCTGCTTTTTAAACTTCTGCACACAATTAAATCAAAATTAGTACTTAATATTTGAAATCTTTAAAATTATACATTTCGTTGTTAAAGATCAAACATTGAATTAACTGTATAATCACCTCTTATCCAGATGGTCCGTTTCTTTGCGCGCGTGAGAAGGTGGCGTCGAGGTTGGTGTGAGTATCAAAACAGGTGTCGTAGTCGGCGTGGATGAAGGGGTCACGCTTTTCAGAGATGAATCTTTGCGTCTAGAGGCTGGCGACGCTGGTGCAGATCCTGCTGCCCCGTTGCCCCTGAGCCAAGAACTCTTGCTAGTGTCCGGTTCTGATGATGAGGGGGAAAGAAGAAGTCCGGGCGATAGTAATACCACGGGCACATGTGCAAAATGTTCCGTAGGGATTCGCATCTAAGGTACAAAATACAACGATTACGATCAAGATTAAAAGCGGACTTCTCAATGTACAGAACCTGAACTCACTTTGGAGTAACACTTCATGCACACAGTTCTTTCACACAAACGACAACGCTGTCCCCAAGGACCTAATAGTCCAAATCTAGTTTTTAGGCAAAGGAAACAGACACGTCGTTTTTCTACATCCTCCTTCACACGTCCTTCCACGGGCAGAGATTCTAATTCGGCTTTGGTTAGTACACTACGAATATGCACAATTTCTTCGAGAGTTAAAGAAAGCCTTTCATCCAAGAACATATCACCTAACGTAGGTTTCTAGAGGAAAAAAAGGTATTTTATTTTATTTATTTATTTATTTATTTATTAATAAACAGCATAACTATTTTAATCCATCGAGTTCTCACCTGTCCTTTATCTTCTTGCCAGTCTTCATTGTGATCTTCAGAATCCTTTGTTGAACCTTCAGCAATCGTTTGAGAACGGCGAGGTTGTCTAGCTCTTGGTTGAGGGCTTAAACTTGGACTCGGGTTCAGACTGATGTTAGGGCTCGGCCCCTGGCTCAACGTCGATTCTGTCACACCTATGTGCTGGCGACTCTGAGGTCTTGAATGAGGAAGAGATGCGGTACCAGTTAATGCTGTGATTGCTATACTGCGTCTGGCTGCGTGTTTACGAGCCGATGCTCTTCTAGATGGGCATTGGGTTGCCAGATCATAGGCTGCAAAACACAAAAAGCAGTTTACAAATATATCATACATAAGATAAGTCTATTCTTGCTTATAAACGATAATTACATTCCAATTGAGCGTCGCAAAACCGGTGATACTCGTTCCTTGTCAGACGGAGTCCACCTGTCTTTCGCCAAGGATTCGCAGAATCTGCCTCGTCGTCGTCTCTGTGATCTTTATGCCTGTTGCAAGTGCTGTTCCTGTCTCCGAAAGTGTAGTCTTCTTTCAGTTGCCAATAATTCGTTGCTTCATCCTCTTCCTCAAATCTTGTAACTGTAAACTCTTCATTGTAGTCTTCGTCATCATCTTCGTCCTCTGCATCGAGCTGTTTATCAAGAACATCTAAATTTAGATGTTTGTGTAACAATAATAAATACTTGTTTAAAATAAATACAATCATTTCAGAACACTATAGAACTTTTAGGTCTTACGCTCGTAGTGTTGGTGTCTGTAAATCCTAAAGTATGGTACATTAAAAATAACTGTAATTCAGATGGAAGTAATATCTACCTTTAAATCAAAATCCACGGGTATTACTTTCCGCCTGGTTGTTGTAGAATTCGAACCGTCAAGATCTCTCCTAGGAGGTTTCGGTATCGGAGTCGTTTCATTTCCTTTGTTGTCAGCACTACTTTGGGTTTGATCTATAAATTTCATTCACACTAATAGGTCTCGACTATGTCAATCGCTACTACAGAGAGTACGGAAGTATGTATGCCGATGATCAGTGAACATGACATATGATCTGTTCTTTGAAAATCTTTTTTTCAAACAAAATAAGACGGTAGTACCTCAGAAAAATCTCAAATACATACATTACTGCTTCCTGAGCATGCATTGGATTAAATACAATTATTAAAGTTACATAAACGCTCTTACATTGAAAGAAGTTTCCATTGTTTAATACACGAGTTCTACTTTAGCTGTGCGAATATTACACATTTTTTAATACCGAACTTCCCTGGAAGACGGTTAAAACATTCCTAACAGTGTCTTTGCCTTCGCAGTTAAATTAGACAAATAGATTTCAGCTATTTCAGATAATCTAACAAAACTATATCCTCTTTTCTAACAAAAAAAAAACCATTATAAATTTTCAATCACGTTTACATTCGCTTACTCTCAATGACCATCCTGTATACAAAAATATATACTACACATTTAAATATGAGAACGAACAGTGTATACAATTGATTCTAATACGCAGAGACAAAGACGAACGTTGACTATCAAACATAGTTTGCTCCAAACGGCGGTTCGAGTCTGCACCGATATTCGTCATGGAATTTCATTTTCATACATATCACCAGTCGTGTCGGGCGAAGAGAAGATGAATGGTATGATTACCTGGGACCGTAATGCGCCTTCTACGCGACTTACGATTCCTGTTTCCCGGTACCCTGATCTCAAGCTTGCTGATTCTCTGCCTCGGTTGCGGTACCGGCGGTACGTTCGTTCTACTTCGACTAGCGGTAGCCGGCACGTTGGCCCCGGTTGCATTGGCCGTTGTTGTTGCAGCTGAACTGGTCGAAGGGTCCTCGGTCTGCAACCATTGAGCCGCCACATCCTGCGCTGGTTCCTGTTCCTGCTCCGGCTGCGACGGTGGAACTTCGCCCAGGACTATCATGCGGGACTCGCCGCCTACGATCATGAACTCCATACTCTTTCCATTCGGTTCTGCCTATCGATATTTATACGACGGTTCATTGCAATGGTTTTACTTGTGACAACCACCAGGTCTGACCAGAAGTTACGCTCGCCGATTCCTTCGCGACGCTCCGGCTCAACTGCAATATCTCACGGCCTGCGAATCAACAGCATTTTCATTGTAAACCGCCAAGCGTATCCCGATATGAAAACACAGCGCATCGAACTCCAGGCGAGAGATACTCTTTTGTTTTTTTTTATCTTTGCGGAAGAGATTTAAATATTAATTTGGTTACCAGCATCCAGGCAATCCTCATTCATCTGTTCGTCTTTCTCATCGTCCCGAGTCGCTGGTCCACCGTGATGCTCGTAAATCCTCGGGTAGCGACTGTACATCAAGTGCACGTGCTCGTTAGTGTGTTTGTCCTCGTTTCGACGCACTTGGGTTTTATCGATACACGGTCGGATACTCGACGGGATTTCACGATTCGATCGAAACCGTCTCTCTCCGCGGTATATCTACGCGAAAGAAACGCCGCGGAAATCCGTAGGGAACAAAAATCAACCTTCGTTCTTTGCACGATGACGTTCAACGGTCGACGTCAGCTCTCGCCCTTTCCGCGCTTTCGGTTTATTGATCCGCGCCTCGGTCCGTGGCTCGCAATACTTAAAGCCAGCCTATCCGTACCCGATCATGATTCATTCAGATCTACCCTCTCTCGACGAGAACGAAGATCGAGAGATACTGCCTAGCCACGGACAGGGATAACGGTTATCAAATCACCAGAATTATCTTTCGGACATGATTAAAAGTGTTTAACGATGGTGTTTTGTTTTATTCTTGCAGAATGGATTAGAGTAGATCAGACTGATACGCACTGCGATACAACTTCACAATTATAGTCGGGGAGTAAATTCTGAGGAAAACAATAATGGAACGCAAGCATTCTGGAAGGGGAATTATTCTTAGAAATAATATGAGAGACACAGATACCACTGGTTCTGCTCGAAGCTGCGAGGAATTGCCAGGCTGTACTCTCGAGATCACGGGCGAGAGATACGCGCAGAGCTGTGCGGGTTTGCGCCCGCGCACCGTTGCAATCCCGCGCATGTACACTTCTTGGTAAATATATTTTCGTTAAAAATACAGTCGCACGTGTGCGTCGCGTGGTGCTCCCTGTGCACCTACGGGGGCATAATATTTTCCGGCGATACGTGCGCTCACGTAGACCCGGCTCCATTACCGATATTTCTTTTCCCCGTCCAATAGAGAACTCTTTCATAGATTCGTTTTAGAAAATTGGATGTTTTCTTATGTCAGACAAATATTTTAATCGAACTTCTTCTTGATATTGCGATACAAGTTTTAACTATATAAACCAGTACGCTGATTTATACAGTTTTCTGAGTAAGAGTAACAACACAGACTGCTCAGGGAGATTTATTGAGGTACCATCTAGTCCAGAAACAATTATATTTCACCGGTTATTCAACGCATCCGTGGCACGCGAATATAGACTAAGGACATCAACTTTTATCGATTTATTAAATTGTTTATAAAGCAACACGACGTGTAACATGCAAGAATGATCGTTGTGCAAGCGAACAGAGAGCATAACTTACCAGGTTTTTGGGACGGTCGTTCGTTCTTTGGTATGTATCTGTTTCGGGACGGTCTCAGGTTCGGTGGCTTTTTGATGCTCTCCATAAGTAATTCTCGCAGGGTCCATTCTTTCCGCAGCGGTGGTAGTTGTCTCTCGGAGGCCTGAACAAGATTCGACGATGTACACGGCGATTATTTACAGAGACGAACATTCTCGTTGAACTCTCGAAGGAGACCGTTACCTTTTTCAACGGAGGTTTACTCCTGATAAATTCTAGAATAACCGCGTGGGCGTCTTTTCGCAAATGTGGCGACGGCGAGGGTGTTTTCCTTAGGCGATATCTCCTTTTTCTAATATCGTCCATCAAGACTTCGTACGGCGTTAACTCAAACTCCGCCCTCTTCCCGTGGCCACGGGCTGTGCTCTTGGCACCCAAGTTGGCTTCTACCTTTTTCAGTTTCACCCCTTTTCGCAACTCTTGGATAACTTGCACCCAAAACCGTGCCTATCGAAATACCTTCGTTTAGATCCTTGATATACGTTTGAACATTTTGGAAAGATACAAGATAAATAAACGTTAGATAATTTGTACTTTTATACCGACGGTGTATACAGATTGCAACGTAAGAAAGTGTGATTTCCGTAATTACTGGTAGACATGAGTATCGATGGATACATGCATTTATGAAGTACTTATACAGTAGTTACTTTTGGAAGAATCAATTGTGCCCAAAACTGTACAGTCAGTTCTACGAATTCTACGAATTCTATGGAATCATGCTACACATGCTCGGTGCTAACACACTTTAAACTCTAACACTTGCTTCTCTCATGCGCAAACAGTTATTAACGATGACATACTTGTATAGCTCTCCAAATCCTAATGTCAGTCTATAACGGTAGAGAGTGAAGTCAATAAATCTCAAATATCTTATCTCTGCAAAATGACAAATGACTTTATGGGATATAGTAATGTGAGTAGCCCCATTTACGCACCAGTTATCACACGTATTAACGTAGACTTTACGACAATTTCTACATCGTTGAAATGATACAAAAAAAGATCTCTATAAAGATCTGATATACAAGTTTTTTTCATTTATCTTCCGCGGAACTACCGACCAGTTGAATTTATGCGAATACTTTTGTAGAACTGTGTCGAAATGTTTTTAAATAGAAAGTGCTATATTTGCACGAGGCTTTATTATCATGAATTATGTTGTAACGAAATGATTTTGCGTCGCGACAAATAGAGCCTTACCCAGTCGATAAAATCTAAAGTATCAAGGTTCTGGACAGACATAGAATTTATCCTATTGCCATCGTTGTTGTTGGTACCCCTTTGACTCGATTTTAGTTGTTCAGACACCCCAATGTTCACTAACTGGGACAGTTCCAAAGCCTCCGCTACAAATGTCCGTATTACAGCTTTGAAATGAGTTTCGGCAGACTGAACGCTAGTTTGCATATGCCTGGTACATAACTATAAATTAATACAAATTAATAACGCTAATACATTAGCGAAAGATCTTAGGAACTCGTGACCGCTGACTTACTTCCATCACATCTTTTAACGAATATATAGACGACCGGTGTTCATACGTATCATGACGCTTTTGTAATAAAAATTCATCTATATCGATATCACTGGAGTCCCGCTCGATACCTTCGTCGTCCGTTACCTGCGGACGATCTTCTGTTTCCCCTTCACATTCTACACATCATAAGAAGGAACAATGAAATCATTTTCAGCAATTCTTCTAGTCTCCGGTAAGTTTTACCTTCATTTAAACTGGTCATTATCGTAATGAGTTCCTCTAGATCCGGTGATAATAGTCTTTCCTCTTGCTCGTCTAGGCCAAAATCAAGCGCTTTAAATATCATCATGCCCAGTGACAACATCGCCTGCAATAGAAGAACAATTCGTTTTTTTTTCAAAGAACAAAGTTTCCTTATCACGAGAATGCTGTGTCAGTGGCTTACTTTCTGCTCGGATACGGAGGGCTGCTTCGATTCTGTAACAAATACGATAAAAATGCATTTAGATCAAGGAAAATAAAGCATCGCCGATCTATAGATCGGTGAAATGATCGACAGGGCTACAGATCGATGCAAGTCGGTAAGTTACCGACTGTTAACTGTGGCAATTCCCGTGCGATAAAAAATTGTAAACAAGTCAATTCAAACGATCAATACCGCAATGATTGCAGTGGGAATGCGACTCCACATTCCAGCGTCGAATACTATAAGATCACGTCCCACCTGCAATTCGAAGTTCAAATACGAATGAATGAAACCTGTATGCGATTGATGCACGTTTCATCGGTGCCGATCTCGTTGTAAATATTGATCAATCTTGTGAGAATCTGTGAAACCAATTATAGTCTGTTTTTTTTTTTAGAAAAGGAATCTGTCATTTTATACTCTGAGCAAAATTCAGTTTTGGATGAAATTGTGATATTCTTAAACGAACGTCAACCATATTAATAGTCTTATCAAGAAACGAAGCAACACAAACAATGAACTCGTATCAGTAATTAAGCGTTCAAGATTCAAGGAACGCGTGCTTCGAGTCGCATACGTCATGCGGACTTCAACAAGTATTTTAAGAAACTGTGTCACGCTTTTAAAAACCGCAACTTTTTACTATAACTGTACTACATACATGTATAGTTGTTTTACTATACTTGGATTGCTTGCAGCTACTATTATGCTACTATAATTTTACGGTACCGTAATTGTTCTATTATTACAAAATGTATACATAGATATATTATTATTATTATATTATTAGTATACATATACATATACATATCAATGTATACATAGATCGCGACAACAAGGTGACTATGACAGAACTACAGTATAACTATGCAAGAGATATATAGTTATGTCCTACTACAGGGTCACATTATCGACCTTACAACAAAATAATAACGGCTCAATTTTTTATACACTGGTTCTTTAACTGCACGTTTAAATACGTAATTCAAGTGAATAGAGATGAACAAATATAGTAAAATAATGCTACACCTACGCAAGATATAAACATGCAATTCATCTTAATGCAGCCGAAGTATAATGTGCAGGGCAAGGTACAATAAGCGCGGTGTTCTTTTATCATTCATCGTTTATACAGGATTGTTTATCATCTGTTTCTATCGATTAGAAAACAAAACACGTCGATAAGAGAACGCGGAACGAAGAAAATTATCTTCAAATAGATAAGAACCGAGTGCACTTACCGATTAGATCGCCGAGCCATACGTCTCCATCCTTGTGAAGGACGATCTGCGATAGATCCGAGATCTCGTAGAAATTCTGATCTGGTAGACTCGACAATCTTTTGGCCGTTTGATAGCACAACGCCCATGCCCGTTCCTGGCTGACCGGTCCATTGAAGGACAACAAAATATCCTTCAGGTTTAGCCGGCCGTTGGTGTCCAGCCTGCATACCAATCTCTTTGCCGCTTCTTCTTCTTCATCCTTGATCTTTACCGGTCTCTTGTTATTGCCGGAAACGTCGAGGCCATCATCCTCGCAAGACACCGAACTGCCGCCGCGCGTAGTCATGATTCTGAATGGTTTCACGACAAATTTCAATTAGAGCCCACCGTTTTGGATACCACTTCTTCCGTTCAGCGAACGGGACAACGACTCGAAAACCGTGTTACTGTAATATCTAGCATTCCGTGTCCCCCCACGCTTAAATACCAATTTATCACCGCACCCGACGACATCGAAGTTAACATTGAACCGAGGATGACGCGAAATACTGACGCCAGGACGATAAGATTAATTCATGAAGTCATTGGTACAGAAACACTCTTTTTTTTTTAATTTCCAGGAAGCCGATGGCTATCTGTTTATTTTCACCTCTGTCATCACGTCGCCGCCATAGGACAACGATGCGCGCGTGTATTCTTTCGAAATTCGCATGGTCCAACAGAGTAAACACTCCTCGACACCAACAACTCTTCTAGCGTGTTACATCACTTACATCTGATACAATTATAATATCCCCGCCGGCGTGAAGTTCTAATTTACAGCTCAAACGTTAATCGACTAAATCAAGCTAGAACATTGAACAAATCACAGTGATCAAAACATACTTTACTAGCTTTTGCGGGGTCAACATTTTTCAAACGATAATTAATTATGAAAATTGGGAACGTGTTTCAGCCGATGGAAATTAAACACGAAGTAACTTCCTCGATCGTCCGCACTTTTGCGAACGATACAAAGGCCGGATAAACATTTATTGCTGGATATCGGCACGTATATTACTGACAAAGAGACAAGCACGAGATATGCAGCGGTACGCAATCTATCGTAATCAACATACGCCCATTTCCCGACAGAGGAAACACTTCCATGAAAAATTCGATTTCGCAAGACTACACGAAAATATACCGACGAAAATCATTTTCGGTAATTCGTTCGATCCACGTACTTCCAAATTAATGGTTAAATTGGCCTCGATAACTATTAGAAACGATCCTGATCTCGAAACACTTTTGATTCGTATTGTTACTTTAACATTTCAGCTTATACGCTGACCACTGCATCGAATATATCAAATTCGACACTTTCGTTTGAACTTTGCGAACAGTTTACTCGTGCGAATTATGTTGTTCCGAAGCAAACGTAGGCACGTATTACTCCCTGCAGAGACAAACTTGCCGGTTCAAGGGATTCATTTTCAAAGAAATGTTACTCTGCAAAAATTATCGATTATGCGTATATACATATATACATTATTATCGTGCGAACGTAATGTTGCAGGCGGAGATAGGTCACTTTCATAAGAAATAGTATACAAAGCTTTTTTTTCCGATCTATCGAGAGGATGTCGAAAAGATCGTGCTGTAACAGCTGTATCGTCTCTCAAAATAATCGAAAAATGATCTATTATTTTACATTACTCGAATGTATCAATCGCTTCTCTGCCTACAATCGTCATTTACATACTATAATAACGATCAATAGGGGAAAAGTTCTGTGATACAGTTCAAGGTCAACAGTTCGCACTTGTAGTACGTATTTCAAAATACATAGTCGACGAGAGATCGTGCTGTTACAGGAATGTTCTCAACATGTATGTCCATGCATTTGACAAAAATCGTTTACTTACCGGTCTGTACAGACATAAATACATCAATATCACCGATCGATCGAAAGGCCGATTAATAGTTAAACCTAGGATTTTTTTAGGGATGAAACGTTCAGGAGATCATCGTTTCAAAACATCTTCGTTAGAACTGTACAATTCCAAACCGGTTCGATCAAATTTTTCGCAATGCAGCATTTGCCTCCCGTTACTCGTGTCACTTCTCAATTTAGTTTACAACATTTAAGTCGAATATTAACGAACACTATGCAGATTATAGATAAGCAAGATTCGAATGCGTTATTATGATTTAATAATACGTACTTTCGCTTACTTAGGCAGCTGACATGTACGTTTCGCAACGAAACGCGCAACGACAATGTTCACCACGCATCACTTTCTCTGTTCATATCGTTCCGCGAGACACTCATTGCATCACTTTTCCGTTAAAATGACAATTCACTCGACACGCGGATGATCTTTTACATCGAACACGTCTTCCGCAGCATCTAACATGTAGCATATTAATTTCTCCTTCGAGCACATTGACAATCAGGTCCAGTCCATAGATAATCGTAGACGATCGTAGATAAGTAATTTCTCTAGTAAAAATTGTTCGTTCGCAGCGCCGCTGCACGATCGTGCATTGTACTTCTGTATATACAAACGAAACTCGGGATCTTTGACGCTTGTATCCTTTAAATTCTTAATAGCTTCCACAACGAATGAACGCGAATAGAACGTTCTATGTAATTCCAACAACTATTTACAAGTACATTTTATGATATAAAATAATAACAATATGTATATATATATAATAGAACATTAGCTGTCATGCACTCTTTGCAACTAATTATTTAATTTTTCGTAGAACAAATAACTACTCAATGATTATACTAAATTTAGATGGTTGTGAAACAAAGAATATGTTGGAATCAATAACAAAATTTAAAGTTTAAATATCACAAGACTTTCCCGCCTCCGGTAGGTAATCGAGTATGCCACATGTTCGTGACAAGAACTCCCAACAGATGGCGTTACGCTAAGCGCAAAATGAATTTACAGTTTCGTATTGTAATCATAGACATTGATAATTTAATACAATTACAATATGTAGGCAGATTACATTATTATTTGTTTGAAAAAAAGTTTAATATGTCTACAAGTGTTTCAGGCTCCTATTAATGGACCTAGTGCGAGTGACCAATAGGAACGCTTATCGCAGTTCAACGCTGAAACGACAGTATCGAGTTTGTGAATCACGCTTTAGACTTAAAAGTCGAATTTCTGATGCAATATTCGTTAACAAGACGTTATGTGTATAGGTGGTGGTACAGAATAGAAGATAGCCAGGATCCGTGCAATGAAGATGCTCTGTTACGTTTAGGAAAGCGAGCAAATTGATCAGTTTATTGGTGTCGTAAAACTATTTCAAAAGACATACAAAATGACTGAAGAAGACTCGGTACGTACAAATACTGAAATACATGTTGGAAATGGTATCTATATGGTATCGGAAAAGCATGGAAGCGTGGTCAACTTGACATACTTTTCAATTTTTTGACAATACCCAGTAATCCACCGATGATATAATGAAGCATTCGTTGATATAAGAAGAATATATTCTAACAGGATTGCATTCCAATGAATCTGCTGCAGCTTTTTGTATCCCAACCTCAAAGCCATGTGGATAGCATTAGAGAATACAGATTTGTCTTTGACATGTACCTTTTGACTGTAACGCACTGTTAAGTACTTTTCTTCCATCGTTATAAAATTTCTATTTTTTGTAACAAACCGTAGTCTTTCGCGCATATTTTATTGAAAGAAATATTTTGAAATTAATACATTAAATATTCTGAAGTTGAAATACATTTAGTATGTTCTGTATTTTAACTACTGTGGATGATTAATTGAGTACTACTGGAATTAATGAAATTTTATGTAACACCTAAAACAGTGTTTTGGCTTGTTTTGGCGGATTCGCAAATTATTTTTATAAAACTTTTTAGGTATTCGATCCTACCTTGAAGAAGAAGAAAAAGAAGAAGAAAACTACTTTTGATCTTGATGCCGCATTTAATGAAGTTGGCAGTACTGGGGATTCAATGGAGATCACCGGTGATAAGGAAAATCAAGAGCCTGAACCTCTTGCACTTGCAGAGGACGATGACACATTGGATTTAGAAAATTTTGGTAGAAAGAAGAAGAAGAAGAAAAAAGCATTTAACTTAGATGAACTGGATGCAGCTTTGCCAGATACAAAGAAAGAGGTGTTATTTCTAAATCAATGTCTGCATAGGCAGATCAAGGGAACTAGTTATTATAGATTATTAATTATATATTTGAATTTTGAAAGGATGTTGTTGAACAACAAACTGAAGAAGTTGCAGTGGATGACACATTTGATTTGGACATGGATTTCTCAAAAACTAAAAAGAAGAAAAAGAAAAAGAAAGATCTTGATGAGCTGGTAGCAGAGGAAGAGCGTAAAGAAACAGAAGATAAAGAGAATGGTAAATATCATATATTGAAAATATTTTATAGTCGCGGGTAACTCATTATTTTATGTTACTCATTATTTGTTAACATGCTGCATTGAATCTGAGCGAAATGCAGAGTACGGTAAGGGAAATATATGTTACCTTCTACATGTCCAGTATTTAATGTAATAGTTACAGATTTTTATATCATCTCTGCATTTTCATTAGGGTTACTCTAATTAAAAGTATATACTATATTTTGTTTATATTAAATAATAGAAAAGATTAGTGTGTAAGTAGCGTTTTTTTTATTTTATTAATTCACTAAACTTGTATTATTTTTTCTTTCTTAGAGGAAACAAGTTTATGGTTTGGTTCGGACAGAGATTACACATATGATGAATTATTGGTAAGAGTGTTCAACATTATGAGGGAAAAGAACCCTGATATGGTAGCTGGGAAAAAACAAAAGTTTGTTATGCGTCCTCCGCAAGTAGTACGTATAGGCACCAAGAAGACATCATTTGCTAATTTCACTGAAGTAAGTATAGCATCGATGTTTCGTATATGTATGTGTAATATCGAAAAATTGTTCCTCTTTATTTTTTATCATATTTTTCCCATTACAGATTTGTAAAACACTTCATAGGCAACCGAAACATTTACTTGACTTTTTACTTGCTGAGTTAGGAACTAGTGGTTCTGTTGATGGAAATAGTCAACTTATTATTAAGGGTCGTTTCCAACAGAAACAAATAGAAAATGTTCTTAGGAGATATATTAAGGAATATGTTACCTGTCACACATGCCGCTCGCCAGACACCATCCTTCAAAAGGACACTCGACTATTTTTCTTACAGTGTGAAACCTGTGGCTCAAGATGTTCAGTAGCTAGCATAAAATCTGGCTTCCAGGTACGTGTTTCTCCACGTTGCGGATGTTCAGGTCTTTACCTTATTTTTCAAAGTTATTTGAATAACGCATTATTCTTTTACAGGCCGTTACAGGAAAACGTGCTGCTATTCGAGCAAAAACTGCCTAAGAAAATGTTCATATGTCCCATCTATCGATTTTGTAGCATAATTTTCAAATTGTCAGAGATTTTTTGTGTTAGAATACAGTTTTTACTATACCTATTGTAACGGCGTGCAATCTAAACACCTGTTTTTACTCGCATGAATTGAATATCGTCAGTTCTAAGAGAAAGTAATTGTCAAATTTGCAACCTATGTTTTTTATCACCAATCTATACAGTCAAACACAGAAACTGCGTAAAAATTATTTCATAACAAATTTCCTTTTATAATTTTCCCCAATGAATGTTTTTAGAATTTATAATTTTAGATT